ATTAGGGGAGGGAATAGGTAGTCTACTTGATTATTGGTTACACATATGGAATAAATCCTATTTTAATAGTATCTAATGAGCCTTTCATTTATAGAACCTTACACAAAAGCCTCTTATAGAAAGGGAAAGTAATATTTCAAAGTTCGCCTTAATGTTACTGAATGTCAACAATCCGTAATCAAGCCAACATATAGAGACAGTGATTACAGTCCAGTGTGATCCTTTAAATATGAAATAATTTCTTAAATTAGCAAAGTGGTATGAGCTAAGGTTCTTTAGGTTTGTGACAACTTAAAATTTCTAATTAAAGTTTGTTACTTAAAAACAGCCTCAGAGTTAGAGTTTTTTTCTCATAGCGAGGCTTCATGCAATGCAGTATTTTCAAAACCCACAAGATATAAAGTTCTATCACTTACAGGTTTGTGCACTGTTCTTCTGTGTATTTGTGCTTCCACTGAAATGTACAAATGGAAAATGTGGCTCCATGTCAGTGCTTTTTCTCAACAAAAGACTGTAATGGGCAGTAGCAATCTGGGATGTTTTATCGGTCAGGAGGCTACTGTGAGAACTTGCGGGCATACCCATTTTAGAACCAGACATCTGCCTGGTAGCAGATTTGAAAGCTGGGAGTTTAAAGAATCTCTAGTGAGTGATTAGTATTCTGGGATTTTGGTCCCATTTGCTGTGTGAATGAAGATAGCCCTACCCTAGCCTGGAATGGAGATGTTCCTTTTCAGTCCTAGGATAGCTGCTACTCTGCTAGCCCATATGACTCTGGTGTGAATTAGAAATGGGTGAATTCTGCAGAAATATTTTCATTCTGTCACAAGATTTACAGAAGTAAATAAACAATGACCACAGTATGAATGCCATTTCCTAACTCACTAGTTCACAGTAGACATCAAAATCTCCTAGAGGGCTTGTTCACACTCAGGTGGCTGGGCACCACCCCCCGGGCTCTGATTCTGTGTATAGGTAGGTCAGAGAATTTGTATTTCTAACAAGTTCCCAGGAGATGCTGATGCTGATGCTGTTCTGGGAACCATGTCTTCCAGGACCATGGCTTAAGGTTCATCAGTATGTAACATGCCATACTCACTGCCCCTGGCTTCCATTTTCATATGAATAAACTTTGAGTTTTATTCATTTTGTTCCTCTCAGCACCTAATAGTATGCCATGTTTATAGGGCTTAATATTTCAGTAGGGAGAGGAGTGCTATTCAGATAAAGTTAATAACATGGTGAAAATACATAACCAAGCAACGTAGCATGGAATAAATGCTTTATAGCATGTTTATACACCAGATCGCTCTTCCACTGCCTCTGTCCCCCCACATTATTGCCCTGTGTTTGTCTGTTTTTTCAATCCTATTTTTTCCACTTCAACTTCTCCTTACACTTAGTTTGATTGGGTTTACTGTCTGATTTGATTGCATAGGGTCTGTGTTTATATCTTGGACAGCCTGAAGCCTGGTAATCCAATTGTGGGTCACTGGGCCTTGGGTTGATGGGTCCATAGCCAAGGCTCAGAAGAGGACCTGAGAGGAAGCTATTGCTCAGTCGTATAGGAATGATTGGTGGCCATAATCAAGCAGTCAGTTCACAGTAGAGACGTTAGATCACAGAAAGTGCCTTGCATTATAGGAACCTCACTGAAAAGGATATGAGCAAACCCAAGGAAGCACTTCTAATGGTTCTTGCTTCCCTAAGCTTAGCTGTTCTTTTACAAGGTGAGACACACTCAATAAAAATTTGGAAAAATCTAAGAAGAATAAAAGGCTCCCATTTGCCTAGACACCCAGAGAATCTAGTTTGGATATATTTATAGCAATTTTTTTGTAAGCCTGCCTAAGTGTTAGTTTATTTATAAAGCATTTGCATTTAACTGAACTTAAAGTCTCAGGGTAAAACTGCCTCAGGGAGAGGAAATTCTTGTGCTGAATTACAGGGTTATTCCATAATGAATGATAATGATTCATCATAAAATTATTTGCTTTCAAGTTTTATCCAGACATCATTAGAGAAGCAAACAACACCTTCCTCTTGCAGACTCCCTCCATGTGACAAGTTCACTCAGGTGTCTATGGTGTGTTCAGGAGCGGAGGGGACTAGGCCCCCCACAAAGCCATTTGTCAATCCTTTAGTGCCTTACTGGTCTTGGGTTGATGGTTTCTTCAAATGAATTTCTTCAGCAAGAGTGAGTGGGAGGTGTATATCAAGACCCCCTACATATATGAAATTGCCTCTTTCCTGCCTTTATTCATATAAGTTAGTGAGATCAAACCCTTCACCTTTAATCTTTTCCTCTGGTAATTCTGTGTTGTTATTCTGTGTCTCTCTTTTCTTTCTTCTTTTCTTCCTTTTTAAAATTTTCCCCTATACTGGGGATCAAACTCATTACCTTGCACATGTTAGTCAAGCGCTCTACCACTGAGTTACACTCCCAACCCTGGTCTTTCTTGTTAAAATGGAACATCTGATATCAGCTGGATTTTCATTGTTTTACAGATAGTCTTTGTGTTACCTTTTTCAGTCTGGCTGCTCATATTGTCCTCCATCCTTATTATTTAAAAATGGTCAGGATGTCTGAGATAATACTTATTTTTCTCTAATATGCTTGCAATGCAGCAAGCCCTTTAGCTTTTTAATAGTGCTTCTGTTAATAGTAATAATAACAATGAGTTCCGTTCTAACTAGACATTTAAATGGACATTTCATGGGAAAGACTTAATAGTGCTAGCCTATCTGCAGTTTATGTTTGGTCATATGGACAGTCTGAATTAGTCTAGCACCTATCTGGGAGAACTGGGGTCTAGTTTTATCTGGTACCTTGAGTGCCAAAACAATGTAGCTTTCTCTCTGTCCAAGATTTGAGGTGACTGTGGAAGGGAGTGAATACTGGGGCCTACCCAGCTCTGGGTATGTGCCCCTGGAGCTGGCCCCAGAGTGAAATTCACCCTACAAAAGAGCCTTGCTAGGAGTTGGGCTAAAGGCTTGGCATGTCCAAAACCACAAGCTCAGTTCAGACCTAAGTGTGGTCCACCAGGTGATTCCAAGTAAAATAAACTGAGTTCCAAGAGTTTGCTCTGAGTCTTCATTCAGAGAGAACCTGAAAAACAGCACTTTGGATAGCAGAGGCCTCTCAGCGATGAATTTATAGTTAATTTTGAGCCCCTTTATCCTTAAACTTGACACCCGCTTGAAAACCTGTGGAAATAAACTCCTCAAATTCTCTCTCCCTCTAACAACATGCCATCATATGCCCTTCGCTGCTGAAAAAGTCGTTAGCTTCGTCAGCATTCATCTTTCATTCAGTCTAAATTTATTTTCACGTGAAATAGAAATCAGGAAAACACCAAAATTATTTTAAGCAAAATATCAAAATTGAAATAAACCAACATATGTCTGTGAAACATGTATAACTCTCAATCAAAAATAAGTAACTTTCATAAATTTCTTAAAATACTCCCAGCATGCAAAATCTGAGCAACTTAAATAGATGGAGTTGTGACATGTTTGATTATTCTCTCTATTTAGTTCATCCTTTAGTTAAAAATGAAAATTCCAACCACTAAAACCTGGCCAGCTCTGAATCAACCCTTTATAAACATGTTTTACCCCATCTATTGTAATAAGTAAGGGAACCAAGGAGTTTTATAACAATCTTTGCAGCAAGTCTAAGTAATCCCTGTTGGGTTTGAATGGAAACCATCTTGATCTTACCTTCTTCACTTGTATTCCTTCTGATCCTGCTCCTTCCCCCTATATTCCTGTTTAAGAATTGAGGTTTCTTTGTTTTGTTTGTTGTTTAGTTTTGGAGCTAGGGATTGAACCCAGGGCTTTGAACATGTTAGGCAAGTGCTGTACCACTGAGCTACATCCCCAGCCCAAGAATGGAGGTTTCTTGAGTGCTTTAAACATATTTTGCTTTGTTCTGATAGGCTTTTCCACATGCCTAACTTTTCCTTCCACTGGGATCTCAAATGGGACCAAAACTGTCAAAATAACATAAATATTCTAGGGCTTAGCACAAAGGGAGAGCTCAAGGTAAATCCCCATCTCACCTTTATGCTTCCTTTGTAGACTTTCCCTAACACATTTTCCTTATTCAATTGTCACTTTAAGGATTAGAATCATTTGGACCCTACAATAGTAGCTGATATTTTGCCCATAGAAGACATTAGGTAAATGATACTATCAACAAATATTTTTGACAAACCAGTGATGCATTTGTTCAGTTCTTCAACCTTTCATTTTTAATTCTCCTTTCCATGAATTAGGTACCAAAATTTCTAAAATAAAATAAATGTAAAGTAAAAACTAAAGTTTTGCTTTATTTGGAAAATGATTTAACAATAAATGAATTGTCTATTTTCTAGTTCCTTTTTAAAGCATGTTAAAAAGTTTATCTCATTAAGCTTGGCATCATATTACATGTTAACATGGTCACTCTTTGACGAGCTGAAAAGCCCTACGAGTATAGTTAGGGAAGTTTCTGATCTATTGATCTATGAACACATGCCTTTTTTATCCTGGACTTTTGGAGCTGTAATTCTTTTTTTTTTTTTTTTCATCCATCACCCTGATTTCTCTTGTTAGTTTATTAGTTGTCAAAAGTTTCTTCCTTCCCGGTTTCTTCAAACTAGACCAATTTGGAAATGGAAAAGTATGCTAATTTTTTAATACATCTTATGACACACATTACTGTATTTTTATTAACTAAGCCAGATGGCTCACAGCAAATTTTCTCTGACATAAATAATCACAGAAATCAGTTTAGGACCCAATTCTGGTATGGAAAGTGGCATGTATATTCAGCAGAAAAAATGCAGTTCACATGGACATATGGATATTTTTAGAAATAATATTTGCTGTTATTCTCATTTCATTTTATTTTTATTTTGTTTTAGGCTAAGTACAAACTTTTATCCCCTCCTGTCCCCCAGATTCAAGCATTTAAGTTATTTTTCAACGATCACAAATTGTTTTCTTTTTTGCAGTTTGAAGGTTGCAAGAAAGCCTTTTCAAGGCTTGAGAATCTCAAGATTCATTTGCGGAGCCACACAGGCGAAAAGCCATATCTGTGCCAGCATCCGGGCTGTCAGAAGGCATTCAGTAACTCCAGTGACCGTGCCAAACACCAGAGGACACATCTGGACACTGTAAGGATGGCAGGAGTTTTGTACTTTCCAGCTGCAGCCCTGTATGCGGAAGTGCCCCTCTGATTATGGGATGGTGCAGTTTTTGCTTTATGATCTGCAGGTTACAGGGACAATGCCCAAGGCAGCAGTGGAACCTGGTACACCACTTAAAGGAGCTCTGTGTGGTCTTTCTTTCTTTTTGAACTTGAGAATTATCCTAAATGTTACAATTTTCTGGGACCAAGGGGGTTACTTAGTCACTTCTGTGTACAAAACAGAAGGGGTTTGGTGGTTGCCCTGTAGTAGATGTTAGTACAGAGAATATCCACTGGAGAGTGGGCATTAAAATAAGTATTCAACTATTAAGACATACCAAATTAGTGTTATGCTGTCGCTAGAAATACTGGGTGTGTTGTATGTCCATTGGCCATGGTTCTTTTCTTCTTAATATAAGAATTTTTCAAATTGCATGATTTTTGAAAGTGAATTTGGCCTTTTGCTGTAGAAACCATCTGATATTTTCACCTTCAAGCAATCTAAGAATAAACAGCAAATCTTTCCCAAGGGTTCAATTTCATCAAGCTTCCTCTGTGTTAACAGTCACATATCCTTTGACATCAACCCTATGAGAAACAATTGATTTTTATTATCACATCCTTAAATCCCATAATACTGCTACATTTTACTCATTCACAAATGCCTTTTCTATATAACTCTTGCTTTTATTTCTCCAATTATGTTGATAGGCCTCCTTTGCATTTTTCAGGCTTTGATGCCGTTTTCCTTACATGGGTCCAGGTACACGCTATGTAATTTCACTTCACTTAACAAAGCCATTGGGATAAATGTATTATACACATCACAGATCTCTTATCCCACATTCTTGCTAATAATGTATTCATGACAGTACTTTCTCAGTGTTAACATTCTGATGTCTATTATTAAACTGCGCCAGAGTTTGAATTCTGAGAAGATACTGTTATTTCTACACACCTTCTCATACATATTTAAGATTCTTCTGATGTTATGGTTGACATATTTATTAAATTTTATATTAGTCTCTATTAGTCATATTGATAGAAGTCATTTTAGCTATATGTCATATAACCTTTCTAAACAAAATTATCTCCCTAATAATACATAAATGTGATGGCTTGCCTAGTACACATTGAAATACAGTTAGAACAATATGGGTGTAGGGTGGACTCTTTTTGCTTTAGCAGAAGTGAAGTCAGTGATTTTTAGGAACAATAAAATAGAATATGAAATGAATAAATGGGGTGAATAGTGAGAAAAAGGAAAAAAGAATAAATTATATTAAAATGCCCTATTTTGTTGTGTCTAAAATGGTCATGGTCGAATCCAATAAATTTTCCAATTTGTCATTAAACTTTATCATGGAAGAATGAACATTCACGAGACAAGATTGTCTTGAGAAATTGCTCTACTCTAACTAGTTATCTGTAGTTTGAAAGAACTATTGTGAGGATAAGTGTTACCGTTCCACAATACCCTTCTTTCCTTGATGCTAATTTTAGCTAATCAAACAAAGAGCATTTTCAAAAATCATTTCAGAATATAAAAATACATATCCCTTTTTAAAACTTTTGAGGAAAGCTACCTGAGAAAATAATTTTTATGATTTTCATACAATGCTAAGCTTTTTAAACACAGCTGTTTTTATTTATATTTATTTATTTTTTGAAAAGTATTTTTGCACTAAATCTTCTAAAACCATTATATTTTCTTTAAGGTCCAAACTAGTTCCTTTTAAAATTTTTACTACGATTGACAAATCGGTTAGCTCTCTTAAAATTGTATGGAAATGAAACCCTTGTTTTAAGAAGCAAGCTGTAGTTGTTTGAAGAATTTATGATTTAAATTTAGGTCCCCGTTCCCTTTCATTAAACACTCCTCATGCAAATGCTGTCAGAATTTTGGATAAGGTATCTTTCTTCAACTAAGCAGATTTTTACTCACAGGAAAATGATTCTCCCATAAAGATTACTGACTTTACAATTCTAACTCTGAAAAGTTTCTTTAAATCATTTCTCTATTTACATCTTACTATCTAAACAGGGGAACAATTGTTTAGTGCAGATAGAAAATAATGAAATATATATTCTAATGAAGCATACATGTCGTCTAAAGCACAGGTAATCTGAGATAAATGACCAGGACAGCAGTGCTACTTAGACCAGTTCCTGACGTTGCTGTTTTAGCATTACTGGTCCCAGGCAGCAGACAACAAGGGGAGCGAATCAAGGCTAGTGGGAGGAATGGTGTATATTCAAGCTTTCTCCAAGAATATCCCTAAATTAAATACAAAATTACCAACCTAAATCATAGTGGCATCAATTTCTATGCCACATTAATACTCATTAATATGAAACAAATCCTTCATTTACAAGAAACAATCTCATGTTCAAAAACATGAGCTTATGTGGTCACATTGTGGCTTTAGTAAAGATAGTGCTTAGTTGTTCCTCTAAAGTCAAAGCAGAGTGGGAAGGCAAGTTCAGGAAAGCCATGTGTACTTAAGAAAGGTTTTATGATTAAGAAATTCTTTGCTTACCCAATGGCAACTCGTTGGCAAGTGACTTTAGCCAGTAACTGGCTCACCATTTTGTAAAAATCAGGGAAAGAGCCTGGTTCAATCTCTGTTTATTATTAGATCCCTAACATGGAACACAGTGTCTAGCACCTTCTGAAAGCATAAGAACTGCTGGATAGCAGCTAATCCATCTACCAGTTAGTTGGTCAATAAGGCATGAACAAACACATCAGAATTCAAATTGGTATATCAAATTAAATTATATATTCTTTTGGAGGGCACAGTACTGGAATTTGAACTCAGGGCCTTGTGCTTGCTAAGCAGACCATCTACCACTTGAGGCAAGCTCCAGGCCTTTTTGCTTTATTTTTTTTCAGATAGGGTCTCCCATTTTTCCTCAAAGATGACCTGGACTGCAGTCCTCCTACTTCCACTTACCTGGGATGACAGATGTGTGCCACCATGCCCAACTTTTATTGGTTGAGATGGAGTCTCTTGAACTTTTTACCTGGGATGGCCTCCAACTGCAATTCTACTGATCTCTGCCTCCTGAGTAGCTAGCATTACAGGCTTGAGCCACCGTGCCCAACGCAATACATTCATGATTTTTACTTTGTTCTTGGACTCAAAAATGGCAAAGAATAAAAGTAATGAATCATAAATACTGTTTCTTGCAAGGCAAATGTGAACCACAAAATGACAGGTATACACATGAAAACAGGAGTACACCATAAACACATAGCCCTGGCTTCTGACACCAGTAGTTATGGCAAGTTCCTAAAGCATGAATCCTATTTGAGAGAAGGTTTTAGTTGTCCTCCTATTTCACATCATGTAGGCCCAGATCTCATACCTCACCTGATGAGATACTAAGGAGATTAGTGACAGTTAACTCATCTTAAACACAGTTCTGTTCTTAGAATAAGCAGGTTTGGATTTATCCTGCAACTAAACTCGTAGCCTCAAAACCCTTGATAAGAATTATGTCATTGTTAGCAGTAGGTGATGATGGTAAAGAATGATTGGATGGGAGGTGCTCTCATCCATCCATCCATCCATCCCTTCATTCATTTCTAACTGTTATGTACCAATAGCATCGGGGATACAAAATCAAAATAGATCCTAGACTCAGCCTTAGGCTCCACACTTTACATCTCTCCAGAGCACAGGGAATTGGAATAGCCAAATATGTGTTCTCATCACACTCAGCCAACAGCTTGTTCATTCAGACTCAACACCAAGATCCTCTACAACTAATAATATTAATATTTCTCTGATTTTTCATGTATCTGTTGTTTGAAACTTACTGTCTCTTGCTCACTTTACACTAATTTTCTTGTTATAATTCTCTCCCTCTCTCTTTCTGAATCAGGTTTCTTCTGAAACATACCCAATCTTTTCTGGACTTTTCTACAGCTTCTTTACCTGAACCCTTAAAGAATATGTGTTTACTAGTTTTTGACAGTACCAAAGATTGTTCTCAGGGAAAGATAACTGTAAGTATGACTGGAGATGCTTACTAATAATTTCCACATTTAAAAAGCGCCACAAGAGGTTTTGTGGTTAGAGTGCAATTGAAAGCAATGTCTTGAAAGTCATCAAGGATAGGATGTCTCTGTTTCTCAAAGGTTTACTCTTCTCTTTACCATGATGCAAAGTTCCTGGACTTTCTAATTAAGATGCATGAGGATTAGCCAGTACTTTACATCAGTCAGTTGGTAACAGTTCATGCTCTGAATAATCTGAGTAAAACCTTCCCCAGTTACCTTTACGATTTAACCACAGCTGTTTCTTTCTTTCTTATTTAGAAACCGTATGCTTGTCAAATTCCAGGATGTACAAAACGCTACACAGACCCAAGTTCCCTAAGAAAGCATGTGAAGGCACATTCTTCCAAAGATCAACAAGCAAGGAAAAAGGTAATTAAAAGAGAATTTTCCAACCAGAAAAAGCACATTTAAAGTACTTCTACAGAACTTGGGCCTTCTATGGGGCAATGGAAATTCTTATACCTATTTAGTAACCTGCTTTATACTTTTAAGGATTGATTGTCTTCATAAGATAGAAGCAAGACTGTGGTTTGCACAGCTAATATGACCAGATAAGAATTACTGGGGAAGACTAGTATAATAGGAATCAGAGAAAATTAAAGTAACCTAAACCAGAAAGTAGCAAAAGGTGTTTATGGGAATTAAGCCCAAATAGCTAAAGAAAATTGAATTGGAAAAACAACAGCAGAAACCCTTTCTTGAGAGAATTGTGTTTTCGTAAATTATCATTTTGTTAAAATCATTTTACTTCTAATTAAGAAGATGGGTGAATCTCTAGAATGACAATAACACATGTCTCATATTACACATAGAGAGCAGGCAGGTTTTTAGTTTTTGTTTTTGGGTTTTTTTTTTTTTTTTTCCTGGATACTGAGGTTTGAACTCAAGGCTTTGAGCTTGTTAGTCAGGTTCTCTACCACTTGAGCCATGCTTCCAGTCCTTTTTGCTCTGGTTATTTTGAAGATAGGATGTTACTTTTTGTCCAGGCCAGCCTAGACCACAATCCTCCTGTTTGCTTCCTACTGTAGCTGGGATGACACAAGCATGCCACCATACCTAGCTTTTTTCCATTGAGGTGGAGTCTTGAAAACTTTTTTACCTAGGCTGGCCTGGAACTGTGGTCCTTCCAATCTCAGCCTCCCCGTTAGGTAGGATTACAGGAGTGAGCCACTGGTGTCCTACTCAGCAGGTTTCTTGATAAGTACTGTGTATGAAAATCTGAAAAAGGAATTGGACATAAAGTCACTTTGACATCAGTGGGAGACAGATGCATTTTTCAATTTGTAAAAATTGTAGTCTCTCAGAAGTGGAATAAATAGTAAAGATCAGTCAAGTCTGCCTGACTTGCTCCTATAATCTCACACAGTTCAGAAGGTTGTTGGCTATACTGGGCTTCCACACCTCAAGAGACAGGAGCTTTCTCCCTTTCAAAGCATTTTCTAGTATCTGAGATTTTAAATTTTTGGACAAAATAGTATCTACTGTCCCTGGCAGAAAACATGTTGAGTTAACTTGGCTTTTGAGTGTTTTATTTGCATGGAGATGCGTACTTGATTCACTTAAGGGCTCTTTATAACAAATTTAAGGATAGTTTAAGACTCAATTTATTTCAAGTGATTGAACCCCAGGGCAAGGGTTTTCAGGTCACCATGGCTTCTAGTTAGAAAACTTGCATTCTTTCATGGTTTATAGGGATTTAATACTTGATGTTGGGAAATGTTCTATAGTCTTTTTGTTAACTTGAATTTTTTCTGCCTTGAGAGGTGTTAGCACAATGCCAGCTGAGGTCTCATATATGGAAAGAATTTGACCTTTTCCCTGTGTGTTAGAAAAATACTCTGCTAGAAGGATTTGACAAATATACTTAATTGCATATAAACCCAACTTGTAAATCAATTGCTTAAATCATTAATTTCTTCTCCGGAAATGTATTTAAATCTCTTTAATTGGAATCCCAGTAAATTGATACTATGATCACTTGGCATGGATTGGACAAGTTCATAAATTTTAGAAAAGCAAGGAACTACTCAGTAAATTAATAATGTAAATAAAATTGGAAGAAGGATGTTTCATCTTAAAAATCACACACCATTGCTGTATATAGTTAATGCTTCTAGCAGTATCACCGTCTAATGGCTTTTTATCATTGTCTATGTGTATTTTAAACTTGAAGTAATAAATTACATTTGTTTTAAAAAAAAACTACCTCTCCTAGATGAGAAGGTTTTTACTTTAAACCTGAATATTCCCCACATCCTAGTTGTCCTAAATGTGTGAGGCTTTACTTGCAATACCAAATTATCAATAAGATCAGAGAGCACCTGTGTAGAGCATAATTGCCATGGACATGAAAAGATATTAGTCCCCTGTCTAGACAAATCAGCAACAATATGATGCTCAGTTTAAGAAAGTAACTGAGGCTGACAGGTATGGAAACATGACCATGTATTTTCAGAAATTGTTTTTTAATGGCGTTTATTGTTCAAACATGGTGTGTTCCAGCCTGCGTATAAAGGAAGAGTAGTTTTGATTGTGTGAAACATTCTCGAAGCACTATCTGAAAAAAAGAAAAATAAATCTTGAGGCTACAAAATATAATTTTATTGACATTTTACTGGCAACCTTCACTAGCAATCTAGATAACAAGGATACACTTTCAAGTGGTGTGTAATCTAATGTCAAATGTTGCAGTTCTTTCTAAATTTCGTCCTTTGCAAAATGGCATGTTCTTTGTGACATGATTTAGCTTTTGATGTTCACTCTGTTTCCTGCTAAAGTTGAGTTGAATTTCGTTGACTTTCTTTGTCAAGCCCTCAGTGACAAGTTTATAGTGTTTACTTCCCAAAATTTGACCTGTCTTTTTATTTTAAAAATCCTTTATGAATCTGTGATGGATTAATTTGTGGAAGTTAAAGTGATGTAAGCTGTCCCATCCAACAAAAAAAGGAAATGTTACTCCCTGGAGAAATAGTTGCTGATAAACCTGAAACTAGTCAATCCACATTTCTAAGCCTTGAACTGATAGACCAATGTGTTATATTTGCATGGTAAAATGCTGTTAGTAGACCTTGGAGAGATTCTAATTGCTCACTCACATCAGGACTTGGTATTTGAAATATTTCCTGGCAGCAATAATAAAAAAAAAAGAAAGAAACAATAAACCTTTTAAGGCAGAATTAAGATTATTTATGACTTTAATTAAAAATTGAAAACTGGCATCATTTCAAAAAAGCCTTTACAAAAATGTGAATTCATCAAAAATAACCATAAAAATTCCAAGGTGATAAAGGCACAGTGGAGTAATGGTCCCAGCCCAAGGGAATTGTTTTGTTGAAAAGAATAAAACTCTCTTCTGTCACACCCTGTTAGTCATGGACTCATTTAATATACCCTGCCTGCCTGCTTGCCTCTAATCCTTTTTTTAACCTCTCCCTAGACACTAAATGACATTATTTTGGTCTTAACATTGCCTGCTTTATGAGGCCCCACTCTGAAATTGAGGGCAGTGACAAAGCACCCATAGTAGAAGATTAATGTATATCAGGAGAGGCAGACATCTCCTAAGCGAGGCTCTGTCCATGGGCATGTGGTTCTTTCCCCCGCCTGATGGGTCCTGTTGAAAACCAAGTCACACTTGAAATTTCAACTCAACCCTACTCAGGCTGTATAAAGGAAGATAGAGAAGAAGGCAAAGAAAAACCTCTTCTGCAAAGGAATCGAGATAATTTGGCTCATTGCATGCAGAGTGTAACTTTCCTCTTTGCCTAAATCATGCACACCCACACATCCTATCAGCCAATGCACAGACTTCTTCCATCCAATGCACTTGGCACTTCTTGAGTCCATTGAAACAAGGCTACACAAATAAGTGAGGAGCAAAATACTCAAGTCCCCAGCAATGGTCTCCACTGAGAATAGAATTTAGACTATAGAGCAAAAGGCAGAATCTGTCCTTCAATTCCTTCAGATAATGAGTAAATGAAATAAGAAAAACCTAAGGCAATAAGCCACTGGAAAGTTTCCTCAAGGCTGTGAGCTTTATCAGAATTTTTCATTTTCACCTTGGAAGTACCATAAGTAAGAGAGTTTGCTTCAACTCTAGCCTGTAATCAAAATGGACTTTTAAAAGAGTGAATGCAAGCAATACCTGGCTAAAGTTAGAGGTGACATGAATCTTCATTTCATACTTTCACAAAGATTCTGAACTTTGAGTGTGATTTGTTACATGTGTTTTAAACATTGACCTTGGATTCTCTGCAGTTGATGACTTTTGCTACCTCAACATAGATTGTTATAAACCAAACACATTCTCACACATTTGAAATGTGTGTGAATACAATATGTATTTGTATTTCCTACTTGGAGGACAACTCTGTATAGTTTTCTGGCAAAGTTAGAGCAGTCTATTTAGTGCAGTTCTCTTCAGGTAGAACTGGCAATTCTTTGGGATCTGTTTAAAGATACCACCTATCCCCTGTATATACTCAAAGCTATAAACAAGTTCATTAAATAGCACATAGGTCAACTTCGCTTTGTGTAGTTCTTGGAACCTTGAGAAGCTGTGTGAAAATAAATATTTCTTTTAAATTGAAGCAAGCAGTATAATGATTAGTGAAGCTCACTTTTTCTATCAGTTGTTTTCTGTCGTGGTAGCAGGTAGGTTACATATTCTTGTTTGGAATAAACTAAAATCATTCCTACTGCTAAGGGAATAAACACATATCACAAGCATCATCTCAAGGTGAACTAGCACTTCCTCTCACAGTTAAGAAGAATGGAAATGAGAATGATGCTGTTTTAGAGATGTTGTTCCAAATGCACAAAGATCTTAAACACAAACTAAAGTTTGAGTCACAAACTTTAGTGCATTAACAGTTCTTGGTGACAAATTATTTCCATCATACTTCAGAAATGATGGTGAGACATACGTGGATATCCTAACTTCAGCTGACAGGATGTTATTTAAGAATGGCTCTGGACGATGCTTTTGTAAGATGATTTTTGTTTTTATTTTTTGTTTTATGGTACCAGAGATTGAACTCAGGAGCTCCTGGCTTGCTAGGCAAGCACTCTTCCACTTGAGCCATGCTCCTGTACCCTGTCTTTTAGTTTGTTTTTCAGATAGGGTATCTTGCTAACTTTGCTGCCCTAACCTGGGACTTTGATCCTCCTACCTCTTCCTCAGGATGCTGGAATCACAGACATGTGCCACCAAGCCCAACCTTATAAGACAAATGATTTTGATTAAAAAGTGATACAAATAATTAAATTTAAATTAAGAAAATATACAATCTTAAATTTAACCCTGTATTAATAGCACTGATTTGGACTTGAAACCAGTTCTCTGGAGGCTTCTAGTTTAAGTAGGG